CTTACTTCCCTGCTCTTATTGCGCTTACTAGGCCATTTACCATAGATGTGTCGCCCCCTACATCACACTGTCGATGGGTAGCCAGTAGTAGACGTCTCTGAAGCAGTGTTAAACTAAGCAACCTAAAAAATACTTCGTCGGCATTCTAAATACTTTTGTGATTTGTTCTCTATAAATGTGCATTTGCTTCCTTACAGTGAGTTGAGAGCTTCTAACTGTCTGCTCTTCCACTAATCCAACTTCTGTAACTTGCAACTTGGGTCGAATAGACACAGCTTCAACTCTCATTACCTCGTATTCCTCGTGCTGGTTGGATCCAATAACTGATTCGCCTAAATCGGACAATGAATTCATAAGTTGGCTATAGAATTGAAGACTGGTAGCTCAGGTTGTTCAGATGGCTGTTGAACTGTTCGCTGAGCTTGGCAATTTTGTTGCAAACGTTTCGTCACCAATCGAAGTGACATCATCAGTGCGTAGTTGAGTGGCGTGCAATAGCCTAGAGTAGCGTAGAGAAGCCTCGGTGAGAGTGCGCTGAGCGTGGTGTGCGTGCGTCGTGGTTGGTCGTGGAGCCGAGCAATCCTATTGGTTGGGACCTCGATCCGCGTTCCGCTTGCTTAATGCGCAGATGACCTTTGACCTCGCCGCCTTTGTCTGCTTGCTCTTGCGAGCGAGTCTGCCGTCAGTTCTGGTTGTTTACTCACACGTTCCACCGGATTCAAGCGATCGAGTTGGCGGTCGTTCATCAGTAGTGTGGCGTATACTGCGTCCAGTTCGATGTGTCGATTGATTGCATGCATTGTAGAGTACCAGGTTTCCAAAAACTCCCTCCCGCGTTTTATGCTTCCATGTGCTAAGATCTTTACATTCTCCAGATCGAAATGGTGGCCATCTTGATCTTCACGCGCAGAAACCAATGAGTGTGGATCATGCCTTCTGACGGCCGCCTTGTGTTCCATGATTTGTGTAGAAAGTTTTCTTCCAGTTTGTCCGACGTAGATTTTATCGCGGTCACTGCATTTTAGCTGGTAGATGATATTGCATTGGTCGGCTTGATTGACTTTTCCTTTGGGCCTTTGGATCAATTTCCTTGGGGTGGCACTTGGCTTGTGAGCCACAAAGATTCCATGTGATTGCAACAATCTTCCTGTTAGTTCAGAGATGCTCTTGATGTAGGGCAGCACTATCCGTTTGTTTGATTAATCGATCTAATCAAACAGTCGAAGTATCTGACGTTTGACGAGGTAGTGTCTTAGCTGAAGGAAATTGTTGGTGAGTCAGTATCCGTGTTTAGTATCCGCTATCAATGCCTGAAAATGGTCAAACAGGAATCGGACGACTTTGGGGCCCTAGCAGATATGAGTAACCGTAAGTGTGAGCGTTTCAAACTACGCTATTTGACGGACGATCAGTTTAAGTGTCTTATTTTCGTCAGCGCTCTACCATCCCCCAGTGATGCTGAGACCCGCACGCGGCTTTTAACTAAAGTGGATCAGGATACTGATCTGACACTGGAAGCCCTCGTAAACAAAGGCACACGGCTGCTCAGTTTAAAACACGACACTGCTATGGTTGAACGGAATGGTCTCGCATCACCAGATACCGTGCACTTCGCGAAAAAGGTCAGGACTGCCAATCAAAGCAAACCCTTCAAGAGATCTACGAACGAACCGCCCACAGCATGCTGCTCATGCGGCGATAGCATTTTGTGCGCTTTTTTCCCTTCAAACGTCATATTTTTCTAACGCGCCATAAACGAGGGCACAAGGATGAATTCTGCAGTCAGGTCCGGTCGAAGAAAGTGAAAAAGCCTTATCGAAAGGGGAATTCTAGAAAGGATAGCGTAGTCTCTGACGATAGTTACCGCATTCCAAAGTGAGTGTGAGCCAAGAAGACGATGTATCAAGGTGTTAATCAATGGGATCCCAACGAAACTGCAATTTGACACGGCCTCGGACGCCACGATTATTTCCAGGAGAACATGGAATCACATAAGGTGGCCAAGGATTGTCGAGTCTAGGAAAGTTGTACATAAATCATCCGTCAGTGTGTTAAACTTAGCGGGCGAACGTACTTGCAAGATTGTTTTCAAAGGTGTGGAAAAGTCTGGAAAGTGCTACATTTCAGATCGGCCTCCTTTGAACCTGCTTGGTCTCGACTGGTTTGAAAAGTTGTAACTCCTCCATTTGTCCTCGAATCAGCTCTGCAACCGAGTTAAGCAAGTCCAGACCCATCATCAAATTCCGTCGAAGACATGACATGTACGCTGAAACCAAACTTTGCCTGTGTCTTTCAGGATGGCTTGGGCCATTGCACGGAATTTAAGGCAACGATGAGCTTGCGACCAGGTGATAAAGACCAGTATCATATGCAGCCATGTCAACCGTTGATCAAGCGCTCGATCGACTGGAATGTGCCGGGATCATCACAGTCGTCAACTACTCATGATGGGCCGCACCTATTTTCGCATGGAAGAAGGCAAATGGCGGGGTACGCGTCTGCGCTGACTTCTCAATTGGTCTTAACGCTGCGCTGGACGACCACCGGTACCCATTCCCCGTACCGGAAGATATCTTTGCAGAACTGAATGGTGGTGAGTATTTGCTAAGCTTGGTCTGTCCGATGCCTACCTTCAAGAAGATGTCGACGAAGTCTCGAGGGAGTTGTTGACGATTAACACTCATCGTGGTCCATTCCAATACAGCCGCTTGCCCTTTGGCGCAAAACGGCGCCAGACATTTTCCAACGGTTGCTAGCTACCATGCTAGCGGGCGTTTCTGGAGCCGCTGCAAATCTGCATGATATCATAATGCTGGGTTAAACATCGGCAGAGCTATTTAACGGTCTGGATGAGGTGCTTGGTTGTATACAGTCGTACGGTTTCTTAATCCGTGAGGATAAATGCACAGTTTTCACGCCGATCGTCAAATACCTCTGGTTTATCCTGGAAAATGACGGACGCCGACAAGATCCGGAAAATGTAGAAGCCATTGGAAAAACGCCTCCACTAACAGATCGACAGTACTTGCGTTCATTTTGTGAGCATGTCAGCCACTACAGCGCATATTTGCCTGAAATGCACCGCCTGCGTGTCCCGTTAAATGAGCTACTAACCAAAGGCCAAACTTGGGAATGAACAGCAAAATGCCAGAATGCCTTCGAACGGGTCAAGATGATACTGTCTTCAGATTTGCTTTTGACTCGGTTTACTCCCTCCAAAGGGATTTTCCTAACCACAGATGTATCAAGCAATGGGATTGCGTCATTAATTTCACACAAGTACACCGATGGATCTCAGAAAGCACTCTTCCATGTCACCAGAACACTTAGGAAGGCCGAGAGGAATTACTGCCAGATCGAGAAAGAAGCATCGGCCATAGTGTACACGGTCGAGCCGTTCCCCAAAGCGCCATACGGCCGCCGCTTCAAGCTTCTGACAGATCACAAGCCCTTGCTGGCTTTGATTCGGAAAGAGGCATTGCTGCCTACTCAGCTAACCGGCTACAATTTTTGGCTCTTATCTTATTGGGGTAGGATTTCGAGATCCATTACCAGTCGACAATTTCTATTGGCCAAGTGGATGCACTGTCACGCCTAAATGATGCCTATTAGCAAGAAACTGAGTACATAAGCATTGCCTCAGTCGAGATCGAATCTGACCTCAATTATCTGGCAAGTGATGCATTGCACGGTCTACCAGTTGCCGCAGAAGCTGTACGAACAGAAACGATTAGGGACCTAGTATGCAAGAAAGTTACACAATTTTACAAAACAAGTTAGCCACGTTCATGTTCATCTGCTGTGTTGCAACGGTACTTCCAGAAGAGACGCTCGCTCTCTATTGTGAACGACTGCATACTGTTTTTGGAAAGAGTGGTCGTCCCCAAGGCACTTCAGGAGCGTCTTATTCAACAGTTTCACGCCGGGCATCCTGGAATCAACCGGATGAAGGCGCTTGCCCGCAGTTATGTATACTGGCCCTTAATGGACAAGTAGCTAGAAGAAATAGCGAAAAGCTGCCAAAAGTGTGCCAATATCTTGAATGCGCTACCAAAAGCAGAGCTCTATTCACGGCAAAAAGCTACTAAGCCATGGTGCCGCATCCATGTCGACTTTGCAGGACCGATCAACGGTAGAAGTTTCCTCGTTATAGTTGACTCATTCAGCAAGTGGCCTGAAGTATTGCTCGTGGATAGCACAACTACCAATGCCACTGTAGCAAAACTGCGCCAAACTTTTAGCAGCTTCTGCTGTCCAGAAACAATTGTAGCTGACAATGGCACACAATTCACTTCGGCAACCTTTACCGAGTTCTGCAAGCAATACGCCGTCCAGCGCATTTGTTCGCCGCCGTTTCACCCATAGCCGAATGACCAGTCAGAAAGGTTTGCAGATACGTTCAAGCGAGCTCTCCACAAATCAAAAGGGGAGGGACGTATAGAATAGGTGGTTGACCGATTCCCTTTCTCTACCGACCAACACCGAATCCACAGGCACCAGAGGGAGTTTCTCCAGCACAGGTTATGATGTACCGGAAGCTGCGCATGCTTTCCGACGTCGTTCGTCCGCGCTCGGAATCCTTTGTTGGTGAAAGAATCAGCAGAATGGAACAGGATTTTAACCGGCGCAATGAAGCACAGAAGCGATCGTTTACGCTTGGACAGAAAGTGCTAGTACGTGACTATCGGGAAGGCACGCGAACTGGACGCTAGGAACAGTCAAAAGCAAGCGCGGAAATGTCATGTATGACGTGGTGGTTGGAACAGAGATCTAGGCACGGCATGCAAACCAGTTACGGCCAACTTTGTGCCAACCGGAACAAACAAGACTTACCGACCTCCCGTTACACTTATTGGGGGAACATTCAAGTGGCCAAATGAGGCAGTGGACGACTGCACACAGTCGAGCAAATACTCCAGAAATCGGACATCGGAACCCAATTCTCGGGCACTTTTGCCAAGGAGGTGGACCGACAGGCGGAGAACCACCGCGCGCCCCCCCTAGCTTCCAAGGCCCGTGCGCAACCCGCACCCCCCCCCCCCCCCCCCCCCCCCCCCCCCCCCCCCCCCCCCCCCCCCCCCCCCCCCCCCCCCCCCCCCCCCCCCCCCCCCCACCCCCCCCCCCCCCCCCCCCCCCCCCCCCCCCCCCCCCCCCCCCCCCCCCCCCCCCCCCCCCACCCCCCCCCCCCCCCCCCCCCCCCCCCCCCCCCCCCCCCCCCCCCCCCCCCCCACCCCCCCCCCCCCCCCCCCCCCCCCCCCCCCCCCCCCCCCCCCCCCCCCCCCCACCCCCCCCCCCCCCCCCCCCCCCCCCCCCCCCCCCCCCCCCCCCCCCCCCCCCCCCCCCCCCCCCCCCCCCCCCCCCCCCCCCCCCCCCCCCCCCCCCCCCCCCCCCCCCCCCCCCCCCCCCCCCCCCCCCCCCCCCCCCCCCCCCCCCCCCCCCCCCCCCCACCCCCCCCCCCCCCCCCCCCCCCCCCCCCCACCCCCCCCCCCCCCCCCCCCCCCCCCCCCCCCCCCCCCCCCCCCCCCCCCCCCCCCCCCCCCCCCCCCCCCCACCCCCCCCCCCCCCCCCCCCCCCCCCCCCCCCCCCCCCCCCCCCCCCCCCCCCCCCCCCCCCCCCCCCCCCCCCCCCCCCCCCCCCCCCCCCCCCCCCCCCCCCCCCCCCCCCCCCCACCCCCCCCCCCCCCCCCCCCCCCCCCCCCCCCCCCCCCCCCCCCCCCCCCCCCCCCCCCCCCCCCCCCCCCCCCCCCCCCCCCCCCCCCCCCCCCCCCCCCACCCCCCCCCCCCCCCCCCCCCCCCCCCCCCCCCCCCCCCCCCCCCCCCCCCCCCCCCCCCCCCCCCCCCCCCCCCCCCCCCCCCCCCCCCCCCCCCACCCCCCCCCCCCCCCCCCCCCCCCCCCCCCCCCCCCCCCCCCCCCCCCCCCCCCCCCCCCCCCCCCCCCCCCCCACCCCCCCCCCCCCCCCCCCCCCCCCCCCCCCCCCCCCCCCCCCCCCCCCCCCCCCCCCCCCCCCCCCCCCCCCCCCCCCCCCCCCCCCCCCCCCCCCCCCCCCCCCCACCCCCCCCCCCCCCCCCCCCCCCCCCCCCCCCCCCCCCCCCCCCCCCCACCCCCCCCCCCCCCCCCCCCCCCCCCCCCCCCCCCCCCCCCCCCCCCCCCCCCCCCCCCCCCCCCCCCCCCCCCCCCCCCCCCCCCCCCCCCCCCCCCCCCCCCCCCCCCCCCCCCCCCCCCCCACCCCCCCCCCCCCCCCCCCCCCCCCCCCCCCCCCCCCCCCCCCCCCCCCCCCCCCCCACCCCCCCCCCCCCCCCCCCCCCCCCCCCCCCCCCCCCCCCCCCCCCCCCCCCCCCCCCCCCCCCCCCCCCCCCCCCCCCCCCCCCCCCCCCCCCCCCCCCCCCCCCCCCCCCCCCCCCCCCCCCCCCCCCCCCCCCCCCCCCCCCCCCCCCCCCCCCCCCCCCCCCCCCCCCCCCCCCCCCCCCCCCCCCCCCCCCCCCCCCCCCCCCCCCCCCCCACCCCCCCCCCCCCCCCCCCCCCCCCCCCCCCCCCCCCCCCCCCCCCCCCCCCCCCCCCACCCCCCCCCCCCCCCCCCCCCCCCCCCCCCCCCCCCCCCCCCCCCCCCCCCCCCCCCCCCCCACCCCCCCCCCCCCCCCCCCCCCCCCCCCCCCCCCCCCCCCCCCCCCCCCCCCCCCCCCCCCCCCCCCCCCCCCCCCCCCCCCCCACCCCCCCCCCCCCCCCCCCCCCCCCCCCCCCCCCCCCCCCCCCCCCCCCCCCCCCCCCCCCCCCCCCCCCCCCCCCCCCCCCCCCCCCCCCCCCCCCCCCCCCCCCCCCCCCCCCCCCCCCCCCCCCCCCCCCCCCCCCCCCCCCCCCCCCCCCCCCCCCCCCCCCCCCCCCCCCCCCCCCCCCCCCCCCCCCCCCCCCCCCCCCCCCCCCCCCCCCCCCCCCCCCCCCCCCCCCCCCCCCCCCCCCCCCCCCCCCCCCCCCCCCCCCCCCCCCCCCCCCCCCCCCCCCCCCCCCCCCCCCCCCCCCCCCCCCCCCCCCCCCCCCCCCCCCCCACCCCCCCCCCCCCCCCCCCCCCCCCCCCCCCCCCCCCCCCCCCCCCCCCCCCCCCACCCCCCCCCCCCCCCCCCCCCCCCCCCCCCCCCCCCCCCCCCCCCCCCCCCCCCCCCCCCCCCCCCCCCCCCCCCCCCCCCCCCCCCCCCCCCCCCCCCCCCCCCCCCCCCCCCCCCCCCCCCCCCCCCCCCCACCCCCCCCCCCCCCCCCCCCCCCCCCCCCCCCCCCCCCCCCCCCCCCCCCCCCCCCCCCCCCCCCCCCCCCCCCCCCCCCCCCCCCCCCCCCCCCCCCCCCCCCCCCCCCCCCCGCCCCCCCCCCCTCCCCCCCCCCCCCCCCCCCCCCCCCCCCCCCACCCCCCCCCCCCCCCCCCCCCCCCCCCCCCCCCCCCCCCCCCCCCCCCCCCCCCCCCCCCCCCCACCCCCCCCCCCCCCCCCCCCCCCCCCCCCCCCCCCCCCCCCCCCCCCCCCCCCCCCCCCCCCCCCCCCCCCCCCCCCCCCCCCCCCCCCCCCCCCCCCCCCCCCCCCCCCCCCCCCCCCCCCCCCCCCCCCCCCCCCCCCCCCCCCCCCCCCCCCCCCCCCCCCCCCCCCCCCCCCCCCCCCCCCCCCCCCCCCCCCCCCCCCCCCCCCCCCCCCCCCCCCCCCCCACCCCCCCCCCCCCCCCCCCCCCCCCCCCCCCCCCCCCCCCCCCCCCCCCCCCCCCCCCCCCCCCCCCCCCCCCCCCCCCCCCCCCCCCCCCCCCCCCCCCCCCCCCCCCCCCCCCCCCCCCCCCCCCCCCCCCCCCCCCCCCCCCCCCCCACCCCCCCCCCCCCCCCCCCCCCCCCCCCCCCCCCCCCCCCCCCCCCCCCCCCCCCCCCCCCCCCCCCCCCCCCCCCCCCCCCCCCCCCCCCCCCCCACCCCCCCCCCCCCCCCCCCCCCCCCCCCCCCCCCCCACCCCCCCCCCCCCCCCCCCCCCCCCCCCCCCCCCCCCCCCCCCCCCCCCCCCCCCCCCCCACCCCCCCCCCCCCCCCCCCCCCCCCCCCCCCCCCCCCCCCCCGCCCCCCCCCCCCCCCCCCCCCCCCCCCCCCCCCCCCCCCCCCCCCCCCCCCCCCCCCCCCCCCCCCCCCCCCCCCCCCCCCCCCGCCCCCCCCCCCCCCCCCCCCCCCCCCCCCCCCCCCCCCCCCCCCCCCCCCCACCCCCCCCCCCCCCCCCCCCCCCCCCCCCCCCCCCCCCCCCCCCCCCCCCCCCCCCCCCCCCCCCCCCCCCCCCCCCCCCCCCCCCACCCCCCCCCCCCCCCCCCCCCCCCCCCCCCCCCCCCCCCCCCCCCCCCCCCCCCCCCCCCCCGCCTCCCCCCCCCCCCCCCCCCCCCGCCACCCCCCCCCCCCCCCCCCCCCCCCCCCCCCCCCCCCCCCCCCCCCCCCCCCCCCCCCCCCCCCCCCCCCCCCCCCCCCCCCCCCCCCCCCCCCCCCCCCCCCCCCCCCCCCCCCCCCCCCCCCCCCCCCCCCCCCCCCCCCCCCCCCACCCCCCCCCCCCCCCCCCCCCCCCCCCCCCCCCCCCCCCCCCCCCCCCCACCCCCCCCCCCCCCCCCCCCCCCCCCCCCCCCCCCCCCCCCCCCCCCCCCCCCCCCCCCCCCCCCCCCCCCCCCCCCCCCCCCCCCCCCCCCCCCCCCCCCCCCCCCCCCCCCCCCCCCCCCCCCCCCCACCCCCCCCCCCCCCCCCCCCCCCCCCCCCCCCACCCCCCCCCCCCCCCCCCCCCCCCCCCCCCCCCCCCCCCACCCCCCCCCCCCCCACCCCCCCCCCCCCCCCCCCCCCCCCCCCCCCCCCCCCCCCCCCCCCCCCCCCCCCCCACCCCCCCCCCCCCCCCCGTATACCTCGGACGATATCTCAGAAGTAAAGGTGTCCGTTAGGAAGTAAGACTTGCCTAGAAAAGCCACTATGTTAGAGCTTAACAGATTATTAACGATCATTACATCGAGTTCGAACGTTCCGGAATGTTCCAGTTTCTGCACTCGACTAAACCCACCTGACACCTCGGCAAACGCTAGGGGGAACAACTAACTTTGGTAGCTGACCTTCCAATTCTAGAATTCGTAGGTCAGTAAGAGACCTGTAAATACAGCCGAGGTCCGCAGTAGTTGTACAGTGTTTGTTGACGGCGATTAATAGTTATTTTCTCAAAGTCATTGACCTGCTTTTTCCTTCGGTTGGGCTAAAACTTTTGTGCAGCCGTAGTGTCAGTTTCGGAATCGCGTTTAGTGAGAAAATTATAACACTAATGGTACTGCGAAGGTCACCCTGCCCCTACGCAAGATCGAACGCACGCCGATTGATAACAAGAACAGCCCGTTACCCTTAGGCTACTCGCCCGCAATGTCAACCTCTTCAGAAATACACTAATTGTAAAATCGTCACTTGACCTTAGATTTTAAGTGACGACCAACTGTTTTCGTCTTGTTGTTTAAGGATGGGCTCGTTGGTCATGTTAATTTGGAACAACTGAGGGTGCTATTCATCACCCACAATTTATGGGGACAATTGCAAAGCGCAGGAATACCCTCCGCAGGCATAATTCAAGTCCCGTATATAATGAAATAAGAGAGGCGGCCATAACAAAGATTAGAGATTCCAGTGGACTTGCGACTAAAGCAACTACTATAACTGGTGGCTCGGTGTTGCTCCTCCACCAAATTGGACACGGTCCTTGTGATAGTAATGAGCGAGGTCTTATTCAAAGAGGACGGATGTCTGAATAGAGACTGCGAGCCACAAGCCAACCAAACAATGTGTACACCAAGTGCCGAAATTGGGCGTGGCTGTTGTAAGGAAAAGTAGCAGTACGGGCGCGTTGCGTTCAGGTACGCCGGGCAAAATGTTGCTCATCGCGAGAAAGAGGATTAAATATGTTTTTTGAAAACTGACATTAAAAGGGATTAATTGCAGTGGAATGTCGTATGCATACATTTCACCCATACTACTCATTGTGTTGGGTGCGGCCTGGGATACTAGTCGGTACTCAATGACCAGTAAAGGACGTGTCAATTACGGGACCGGATTGAATTTCGTGGCGATTGAACCCAAGATATATTGTGCAGAGTACAAAAATATGGGGCGAATAAACCGTAGAAAAGGTGCATTAAGGTACTCACCAAAACGACTTGTGTCAACGAATGTGCAGTCAGTAAAACAAGTGGACGTTTGGAAGGTTAAAACAACCGTAAAATCCAATGTTGTATAATACTAAAGCGTGTTTTCCGGTACACTATAAGGGCCACCCCCTAGAAGGCTGAAGGATGGAAGAATTCGATGGAGCTGTTAGTGGTGGAAAACGGAAGGGGAGGATAGGTGCAAATAGTTGCCTGGGCTTGAGCAAGGGCTTCTGACGTGGGGTGCGTGGCAGAGTTCGCTTGGTCCAGGTTTTTGTTATTCGTTATTTATGAGGATCGTGTGGACCAGAGTGCCTCATCAATGGTACCTCGGAGCGGGCTGGTCGGGCTGCAAACCAAACTGGCTAATCCGGCTAATAGGCCGACAGGACCTTCCCTTTGCTGCAGACCTGACGGCGCGCTTGGGAGTTGTCACTCTCCTCACCGCACTCCAGTCAACGGTCCTCGTCCCACGAAAATTCCAGGCGTCCCTGTCCCATGAAGAAATCCGGCATCCTCGTCGGCAACGCCTAGTAATGCTTTGGGGACCAACCCCTTCGTGGCTGTCTGCGGCGGAGGGCGACTGAAGTTTCGTGGTCAGGAAGGGAGCCTTGGTTCGGTTGGCAAGTCAATCGAGGGTTGCCTTGGCAGTTCCGGCGGTGGAGTTTCTGGAAGGTAGAACTCGGAGGGGGTGGGCAACATTCGGGGGTGGACTGACGCTGGCGACTGTACATGGCATGCATGATAAAAGCAAATACACTTTTTAAGTTTTCAAAATGTTTTTGCTTTACTTTTGTCGATTTTGCGAAGCGCTTATGGATGAGCAGCACGATAACCACCAAAGATGAAAAAGGCTTGTTAATGAACATAGCAAACGTTTACAAAATCTGAAAAACGGACCGTACATTCGACCTGTCTACCGCATCGGTCGGTCACTTGGGGTTGAGGCGGGGTAGGTTAAGGGTTAAGGAAAAAAGAGTGTTTCGTTTTCTCCAGTGCTCGAGAAGTCACCGCAGGTGCGGTTGCTTGGGTGATAGCATCAGGATGGGTTGCAAGCCGTTCTTCAAAGGAAGGTCCTTTCAGGCGGTCGATATACACAGTTGTTCGGTGACCACTCTGGGATAAATTAAAATGTTTCGGAGTCCGTTGCGGAACTCTGAAAGTTCCGGCGTAGAGAGGCTACAGAGGACGCCGCACTGCGTCGGTGCGCAAAAAGACGTGAGTGCAGGTAGAGCGTCCACTGTTAATTTGCGTATCTCTAGTCTGCTCACGGGGCGGAGTCGGGCGTAGTGAACCCATGCGTTGAACTGGGGAGGACACAAAGTTAGGCGGAGGCATACCCGACGATGCGGGAGCTGAAACAACTGCTCCTGTCAACCTGAGCGTTGTGCTGTAAATTACCTCTGCTGGTGCATACTGCAAGTCGGATTTTAGGTTTCTGCGAACGCCTAAGTGTACAGGCGAAACGTTTTCGCTCCAGCTGGACTCTGAGGAGGCGTAGAGCGAGGCTTTAAGCTATCTATGTAAGCGTTCAACTAACCCGTCGGCTGTTGGGCGATACGCTGTGGTATGGATGCGGCGACCGCCTATAATGTCGCAGAACATATCGAGTTGCGAAGATACGAAAGGCTTTCCTCTGTCAGTTGTAATGGTGAATGGGCATCCGTAGCGCGATACCCACCGGTCTAAGAAGGCCCAGACAGCAGTCTCAGCTGTGCAGTCTTTTACGGGAATGGGTTCTGGCCATCTAGGGAAGCGACTGACACATGTAAGGATATATCCGAAACCGCGTGATGGAAGACATTGGCCTACCAGGTCTACGTGTACATGCGAGAAGCCAGAGTCTGGGGTAGGAAATGAACGCAGAGGACTACGGGTGTGACGACGAATATTGGACAGCTGGCATTGAAGGCAGGCGCGAACCCAGGTACGAACATCTTTGTTTACGCGTGGCTAAAAGAAACGTTCGGTGACCAGTTTCAAAGATGCATAGATACCGGGATATGTTAGTGAGTGCAGTGCGTTAATGGTTGTCTCTCTGAAGATGACAGGCACAAGGGGTCTAGGACAACCTATGTAAGTATAACGGAGTGTGATTCTTTCCGTGGTTTTGAGAGGAATAGGTTGCCTATGCAGCGAAGTGAACGGTACAGTGCATTGTGTTTCTTCATCTTGTGTCTGGGCCGATGCCATGATAGCAAGGTCGACGGTAGGTAAAGACTAGAGAGTGAGATTGACGCGTGAGACAGCGTCAGCGACGGGATTATCGACACATGAAACATGACGTATGTCAGCAGTGAACTGAGTGACAGTCTAGGTGTCTGGTTTCCCGTGGTGAATATTTGTCGCACGTAGAGTTGAAGGCGAAGATGAGTGGCTTGTGTTCAGTGTAGACCGTGAAAGCGCGGCCTTCAAGTGTGTGCCGGAAGTGACGAATGGCTAGGTAAATGGAGAGCACTTTTCTGCTAAGTGTGCTGTAGCGGGACTGCGCTGGCTGCAGGCATTTAGAGAACAGCCCAAGGAATTGCCACGGCCCACCAACATTTTTTGGAGGACATCGGCCCGTAGCTTAGAGTTACCGAACTTGGCTCGAGAGCTTGCGGCGCGGGTTCGAAGCCACGTGACGCTTTGCGTCCCCGCGGTATACTTAGTCCGCGTGCAACGGTTGGTGGTCGCACGGCAGCGAAGCGCCGTTACGACGTACAGTTTACACATTGTTATTTATTATTGTTGAAAGACGGTTACTGGCGCGACGTCGGAGGCATCAGTCGTAATAGAAATTGGCGCAGTCGATTCCGAATAACCGAGGAGGGCTATGTTGCATATAGCATCCTTGAGGTCGGCGAACGTTACCTGTGCTTTTTCAGGGAAAGCAAACATACGTTCATCCCCTATGAGTAGGTCAGTCAGAGGCTGTATGAGCTGCGCACAGCGCGGAATGAAGCGTCGATAGTAGTTAATTAAACCACGACGTCGAAGTAGGTGCGTGCATGAAGTCGGAACTGGGAAGTCCTTGATTGCCTGGATCTTATCAGGAAGGACTTTGATACTAGGCGATGAAACGAGGTGGCCTAGGATTTCTACCTTTGGTTTGCCGGGGACTGACTTAGTCGGGTTGACTGTGACGCCATGTTGGGTCAAACGCTGGAACAGAGTTCGAAGATGCTTGAGGTACTCTAGTTCCGATGAACTGGCTACTAAAATGCTATCGAGGTAGGAATAAGCAAAGTCTAGGCTACGAGTGACACCGTGGATGAAGCGTTGGAATTTTCGTGCGGCGCTGCACAGTCCAACTGGCATCCTAACAGTTCCAACAAGACGAAAGGAATGATAACGGCTGTATTAGGAATGTACTTTATTTCTAAAGGTAGCTGGTGATTGGCGCGAACCAGATCGATCTTGCTGAAGATCACCTTACCTGTGAGGCATGCGGTAAGGTCCGGCATGTGTGGGATGGGATACCTATCTGGGACTGTTAGCCGATTGAGTGAGCGGTAATCACAGCAAGGTCGCCAGTCACCAAATGTCTTAGGGACCGCCTGCAGCAGCGAAGACCAAAGACTGTCTGAAGGGCGGGTTATTCCAAGCGCAGGAATGTGCTCAAACCCTGCTCTAGCTAGCTTTAATTACTGGGGCGATAGTCGTCGTGTACGGCATGAGACCGGTTGGTCATTCGCCCGTATGTGGTGCGTGAATTAGGATGCCACGGGCAAAGCTGCGTTCATTGGCTGAAGGAGCTTGGAATATTGGGAGATGACGTTGGTGTAGTCTGGCGAGGCCTGGTGAAAGGCCTAGACTGGTGTTAACATGCGCTATCGGCGGTGTCACCACGTAAACTGGAAAGAACGTGGGGCCTTATGTTCTCAGTTTCTGAGTGAGGAAGCCACGCGTCTCTTCCGCGCAACTAAAATTCCCCCAACGGCGCGAGCCTCAGTGATATGGGAATCGCTGCGCTGGCTGTTCCGGAAACAGGAAGCCGCGGTTATGTATAGACAAAAGTTTGCTGCTCGTACACAACAGCCAGAAGAATCGGTCGAAGCGTTCTCACGCACGCTTCAGGAGCTTTCCTTGAGAGCCTTTCCCGATCTCTCCAATGCCGAACGGGATAAGTGGTTGGCTCAGCGGTTTTGCAACTGGTTGCACGACAGGTCCTTACGTCACCAACTTGCCGAGATACTACCCTGCAGTTTCACAGATGCAATTAACAAGGCGCAGTTTCATGAATCTCAGGATGTGCTAGACGATCGTAACGAGTATGGCCAGGCCACCTTGTGTTCGGCTCTGAAAAATGTGTCCATTACCAACAGCAGACCATCTAACCTCAACTTCAATCCGTCCAGGCGAGATTGCTGGGACCGCCGCCGCTTTGGAAATCGTGCGCAATTCTGCGGTCATAACCCACCTACCAAGCCGCTACGTTTGCA